TAATATGCTTCTTGTTGATAAAAATAAAGGGGATCTTTTTCTTCCGATATAAAAGTAAATTGGTCAACAGTCGCCGACCGGAGGAACGTTTGTTACGAAATACCCAATTCAACAAGACGGAAAGCAATTTGTAGACAATTTTAAAATACGCTTAGCTACCGGACCTCCGATATTAATTGCAATTTGCTTCTTTGTTTTCCACAGATAACATCCTAGTATAATTGATAAAATAATCCAAGTACAAGAATAGAATCTTTTTACACTCACAAATACTTAATCCTCTTAAAGAGTAAATTAACTTATATTCTTATTTGTAAATACCCTCCTATTTGAGAATTATTTATAATTATAAATTAATTAAGGTTTTTAGTTGAGATGAAAAAGTCAGTGTCACGAGTGGTATTCGAACCCAGGATCTTCAGCTAGATACGCCGCTGCTCTACCGCTTGAGCTATTGAGACCTTGATCCACTCGGACACTAACTTCCTATCTCAACCCCACCTTTTGAATTTTCCCTCCTTTTTGCCATTTTTTTATCTCAACCAAAGCAATAATTAATTGAAAACAATTTATTTGGTCAATCGGACCACGAACCATACGATGTTTGTTCTTATGCTTTCTTTTCATTGATTTTTATCAACTTTCCTAATCCATTTATTTATATAGGTTCGTAGGTATTCTCTCTCTCTCTCTCTCTCTCTCTCTCTCTCTCTCTCTCTCTCTCTCTCTCTCTCTCTCTCTCTCTCGCTCTCTCTCTCTCTCCCCCGCTCTCTCTCTTTCTCGTGTAATCGTATTTTTTTAACGAAATATTTTATTTCAACATAACGGAAAACTGTTTTATTTTAAATTTATGCTTTTCCTTCTGAATCTAAACTTTCAATTCACGATTACGGATCTGTTTATAACAATTTTAAACGGTGAGGAAAGTATTACTACTTCCAATCGTGAGAAAAGTTAATATAATCCATACAAAAAAATAAAATTTTCCTTCAATATTTTTAACCTTCTTATTTTCTCGCATTATCGTTTTCACGTGAACAGTTGTAACTTTCGGAAGGAACTAAAGTAATTTATTTTTAAAAAATGGCAAAAAGTAGGGAAAATTTAAAAGAAATTTAATGTTGAGATGGGAAGTTAGTGTCCGAGTGGATCGAGGTCACGATAGCTCAAGTGGTAGAGCAGTGGCGCATCTAACCGAGGATCGAGGGTTCGAATCCCGCTCGTAACACTGACTTTTTTGTCTCAACTAAAAACCTTAATTAATTGAAAGATATTAATTAGTCAAGCGGACCACGAAAACTAGTGAATTTAATTATTGTAAAATTTAAAATATAAATTGCTAATTACTTCAACAGCAGATTGAAAATTGTTCTAAAAAGGTTAAAGTTTAATTCGAAGAAATCTAAATAATTCAATATGAGAATATACTGAATGTTTCATCGTTTGGATAACGAAGGGCTGCAACCACGAGATTAACATTCAAACGTAGCGGATCAACTTTTCAACCCCGCGGATCAAGTGTTAATCCCAAACAGGGAAGGGGGGGCTGATAAACAGATCACCAGATTAGCGATGATTAGGTGAGCTCGAATTACGAGCGAGTTGACTAGCTTTCCCTTTAACTGATGCAACTCCGATGCTCTCATTTGACTTGGCAATAAGCGAGAGCTTGAAGTTAAACTCAAAAGCCCATCTGGTTAACTAATTGTTTAAACTCTAATTAATTGTTAAACAATGGGTTGGCCGCTTCAAATAGAGCTTTTGTGATGAAAATGTAACATAAAATGTAATTCATATTCATGTTTATTGAACGGATGTACAATATCATTTATTAACCCAATATTACCGTATTAAACTTATACTCAAATTGAACCATATTTTATAATTTAGAAATATGTTTGCCATGTTTGCCTTGGCTCCATACAGAAAGCGTGTAGGCATGCCGCCGGACTTAAGAAGAGTTCTTGAACACGGTAGCGAATTTCATGGTTCCTTGTTCCGCTTTTTAGGGGAATTGGGAATTTTTTATTGTATATGCCCTTCAAAATATGTGTTTTGTGTTTCTGTCTGGTATGGGTGAATGTATTTATTGGTGTGAATGGGAAGGGGCTGATGGCGAAGTAGCTTCTCCATCGCCTCTCAGGTTGTGTGCAAGACTTGAGCCGATGGCGGAAATTTTATAAAAATACCCCATCGACCCCAATTTAGTTTATTATAGTAAACAGGTAGATGGACGAATATCGAATACTCCATCTACCAAACAGAATGAGTGTAATCGATGTATGTTGGTGTGAAGGTATTTATTGGTGTGAATGGGAAGGGGTTAGTGGTCACGTAGCACCTCCACCACCCCTCATGTCGCATGCGTGACTTGGGTCTACGGCGGAAAACTTTTAAAGTATCCCATCGACCCCAAATTAGAGTGGGTTATTGTAGTGAACAGGTAGATGGAGGAATATAGAGTACTGCATCTACCAAACAGTATGAGTGCGATCAATGTATGTATGAATGTATTTATTGGTGTGATTGTATAACGAATGTGTAGCGGTATTTCGCTAGTGCTTCGGGGCTGAAATGACCAAGCTATCGGATGCCCCTGTCAAAAAAAACAACAACCCCCTATTGAAGTATATTTTTTTCTTTCCAAAAGGTAGATCGGGGATGAGGCCAGGAAGACAGAAACAACATTTATTTTCTTGTCGACCTTTCGGCAGAATATATCGCCTTCATCAGGACTTCCAAAAAAATCGTTATACTATATGAACAGGTACATGTGTGGATAACGGATAGTCGGTAGAACCCACCTTCCCCTATTGAAGGGGAAAAAAGTTCTTGTTAGTGCCCAAAGGTTTGTATTTTAATTACCAGACTGCTTCTCCTAGAATATTTATACTTTAGGAATTACCAGTTGCACATTGGTTCATGCAAGGATAGACTAATGTAAGCTACCTCCATGAAGATGAACCTGTTAGCTAGGGAATTTGAGAGGAAGGCAAGTGGTACCAAACTGACTCGTTGATACCAAAAGGAGCTGGGCCGCTAACTCTAGCACGATTTTATAATCAGAACTGCTCAAATCAATTAATGCAATGTGTGTTTATGGGAGAAAATTTTAGCTTAAGGTTTATACATTAGATTGCTTAGGATAGGATTTAAAAGGATAGCCATAACCAACAAAACTTCTCACTTTCATAGTGCACCCCACTTCAAGGAAAAACATTGAATCATGGGTAAATAACTTATCCGTAAACTTATTCGACCCCCTAACCCTAGTTAACCTATGACAATGATGAGAAATAAAAGGAAGAAAATATTAGAAACCTATTCTCCTAGTAAGTTTACTATTCTCCAAGCACTGCAGACCTATACCTTATTGAAATTTTCCTAGTTCCTCGGTTCAGTTCAATTTACTCGTTGTAAAAAGTTGTTACCTCCATCTACAAAGATCTATTTTGCCTGTATAAATTTTTTAGAACTCTGTAGTTAGCTTTACGCTTTTTATATCTGGTTTCAATGCCTGGCGAGAGGTTTTTTGTAGAAGACCATCACTGAATGTATAGTACCGTAGAATGTGGTCCGCAGTCTATTCCTCTTTTTGGTGTAATCTTCTCACTGTTACTCCCGGAACTCGTATCCAGTAAATATGCCTTTTACCAAAATAGTCGATGAATGCTTCCCAATTCTCCAAAAACAGGAAAAATATCCTGACCTTATCCTATCTCAGAATGAATCCACACACACACACACACACACACACACACACACACACACACACACACACACACACACACACACACACACACACACACACAATTAAGAAATGGAAATACTTCAGACGTCCCAGGCCCGTACTCATGATTAAAAACATTCACCAAAACTGCCAAACACAGACTTAGAAACTAAAACTGGCATAACAAGAACATAGACTTTTCCATCTCAGAATGGATCCAGAAAGAAGGAAAAGAGAAAATGAACTCTAAACGTGCCACGTACGATCTCATGATTAAAAAATTTTCACCAAAATGGCACACATTTCTACAGTTAGACGTGGTAAAACTCGGGAGAGTAATATGACCTATTAACCGGTCACTTGCACCTGAGAAACCCCTACACGGGTATATTCAATGATGACCCCCTCATTTGTGTTATGCAATGAGGCAGAAGAAACTACAACCCATTTTATCGTCGAATGCGAAGAAACAGCTAAATAAAGTTATACTAGAGTACAAAAAGATCTCTTTCCCGGATCTTCGAAAACGATGCCGCTAAATTGGTATATCCAATAAATTTATATATCCCGCTTCTCCCAAAAAGCCATGTACGTTTATAATAGCTATCTACTCAATGTATTGATCTCTTGTGAGGTAATATCGAGGACAGCATGAGACTTCGTTATTGCATTGAGTGCAATAAAAACAGAGAACACAATCTCACGTCTGCGACCAAGGGTTCCTCGGCAATATCAATCGTGCTTTACCTCTTATCAACAATTCCAGTCTAACATAGAAATTACTAAATGGATCTGCTAAAGACTTACGTCTGGTGGAAAAATATCCCAACAAATAGTCGAAAAAAGTCTCTCGAAATTTTGCAACACAGTTCAAAAAACTTAAATAACTTATACTTAACTTATTCTTGCACGACTGTGGACTGGCTTAACTCGACTTAATAAAATTTGAGTAGATGAGGTCACCGCACTATTTATGTTGATTCTTGCCAACCTTTGCAGAAAATTAGGCCTTTATAAAAATATTATAATAAAAACATTTAATAGTGTACTCTTTAATGACTTCTGTTTCAAACCAACATTTTACCGAGATATTTAATAATCCATATGATACTTTATGAATACTTTAAAAGATTTAAGTTTATGATAAAACCTCGAAATCTTTATATTTTAATATCAAGGGATTTTGTTAAATATATAATATCTTAATTACTTCAATCTTTGATTTATTAAAAGAATGCTCAATATCTAACAATTATGAAAATATTTTCAGAGCCGTTTGAGGAAAGAATCTGCGATTCCGTTGGACCAGTGCAGCCTACCGACTCCTGAAATCAGGATTACGGCCGACGAGATTTACCCATTCGCACTTGTTCTTAGGCTGAGGGTGTTGCAGGTATTTTCCAATAACTTTCATAATTTAAAAAAATATTATTCATTACGCTATCTGAGAGCTGTAATTATGATGGCACACGATAACCAATTATATTACAAAATAAGGAAGAAAATCTACCGACAACTAGTGGATGATTATAAGAATTTGAATCATTTTTACTTTCCGTATCCAAAAATCTACTGTTACCTTGTTAATCATTAGCCACCAAACAAGTCTGGCATATATTATATTTTTATAGACAAAATATTCCATGTAATTTTCGATCTATACTTAGACATCATCAACATAACATTTCATTATATGTGTAGAGATTAGTGACCGTTAATCGATAATTATTCAGATATCGTGAGATGCGGTCTGGTGTGATGTAGGTTTCAGAAAAACATTTTCTTTATCGTGCCATCGTTTCGATCTTTTGAGCCCTGAAGATGATCTCAATAAAGATCGAAACGTTGGCACGATAAAGAAAATGTTTTTCTGAAACCTGCATCACTCCAGACCGCATCTCATGATATTTGAATAATTATTTCATTATATATATCACAACGTTAATTAAAGTTATTTCATTTATTCCTGGAATATGCATCTTGCTCCGTATTCAATTTATAATACACGTTATTTATCAATAATATATAATTTACATTCTTTTTATTTACATTTTACTTCAATAATGGATAATTAAGGTTTAGAAATCGGATACTCTCAATTGCGAACTGAACTACCATCTTATATTTATTTCGTTTAAATATTTTTTTCAATTCTCTCTGAATAATTTTTACGCATGAAACCTTAGGCGAATTATTCTCGTTTAATTAAAAATGTGTTAGAATTCTTAGAGCAGTGGCGCAAAGAATTTTCCTAAGACCTTTTTGTTCGTTTTTATTGTAATAAAAACCGACTCCAGTAACATAGTTAATTTTACAGATTAAACGAATATATGTAACTGTAATGAGATCAGAGGGTTAACCGTGAAATTATAACAGGATAAAAGCAAAGAAAACATGAGAATTGGACGAAAACAAACTAAATCACTACCAAAACATCGTAGAATTAGTAACATAACTGTAATAATTTTGATATTTTCCAATTATAAGTTATATTAGAACACAGGTCATAACGCAATTAATCCGCAAAGATATGACAATAAAATAGAAATATTTCTGATTAAGGACTTTTTTTGATTCGCTTATGTTTATTTTATTTTAGGTTATTTTATTTTCGCTTATGTTATTTTAGGTTTACATGACATGTTGTGTTATTAATTATGAAATTTGTTGGGGTTTCGTATCCCTTTTATTTTTCATTTTGTACATTTGTCAACCACAAACTCCCAGTAACAATTCAACATGAGTTTTTTTACACGTAATTATAATTGATAATTACAATTATAATTATTAGAAAAGCTCGTTTGGAATATAAAAAGAAAAATCTGTAGTAGTTGAATTCAACAATGATATTTTACAATTTAACAAATTATCTTTAACACAATTTGTTAAATTGTAAAGGAAATTCCGTTGAAGGTAAGATTCCCTTTAATGAGACCCCTGCGGCTGCTTGAAACAACGTCAAAAGTAAATGAAAGAAAGGAGTTTATTTAAACTAATTTCAACTACTCAAACACAATTCTGAAGTTCAAAGAGGAAACTAAGTTCATCGAGAAAGATTGGTTAAACTAGACAAATACTCTTTTGACAAAGAACGCTTTTGAAATGTCAGAATCCATTCGAGTGTAATTATTTTATTAAAACTTGAAGGTAAATCACTTTTAAATGACAAAAGCATTTACCTACCTGAAAAAATAATAGTAATAAATATTAATATTATGCGTAGTCCACACCATTAATACACTAAAATTATTAACGTAATAAATACAATTAAATTAAAAGTCGTTATTGATAACAAAACTTAGTTGATGTTTTATGTAAGTAAAATTAGATGACTTTTTTAAAGCAAAAGTGGCTTTAAATACTTCCGAGTTTCGGGGATCTTGAGACTCAATATTTCCCACTTATCAATAATAATATCTTGGAAAATTGGCTTAACGAATGGCGTGAGGTTACCCCACAATAAATAGAGGAAAAGCAAGCTCTCCTCTGTTGAAACAACTCGTTAAAGGAAATAGTCTTGCAAGCCCAAGAATAGGACATCTTAGGCTTACCTGTGGATCTCTCGTGGCAAGGGAGCTACTATCAAGTATTTTTTAACGGACTGTTTTCAATTTGCGATGTAGTAATAGTTGTAGAATAGGGAACTCTTCAATTCCTAAGACTGGCTGTTTTCTTATCAAAAATTTAGAAAAATATGTAATTATTTGCGTTCTTTTAATAGTGCACCAGTAAAGGTGGTGATTGACGTGCTGTGGACCGGATGCTATGTAGCGTGGTGGTCCCTGGGGGTTGACCCGATTTGTGTTCAATCCCCAGGCATGCCTTGGGGGATATGGCACAGACATGCACATCCCTTGTGTGCTTACTGCTATTTTTTTTATCGTAAATTGCTCCGTTTTTCGGACGAACAGACGATCGTTTTCCTATTTTATTTTTTAGTTGCTACTTCTACTCGTTTAATTTTAATTGTCCAATAGTTTTCCAGTATTTCAAGGTCATTTAAATGTTCAAGAAAGAACAGAATCTTGAAGGTACCATTTTGATAAAATTGACTTTTTACTAAAATATCCAATTTTTTGTTTAATTGTTTTAGCATACTATGAATTTTTTGCCATGGTTTTTTTTTTGTAAAATAATGTTTTGTAAATTTTCGGCAACCTGAATTTATAAAAAAAATAATAATAACTTACACAAAAGCAAAAAAGATCAGCTCTGGAAGTTTTATGTAATTGGCAAGGAAGCTTAAGTCCTTAATCTGATAGTCTAACCATTAAAAATTTGTACTTAATTAAAATAATTTTAAAAAATAATTTCCGGAAAAAATTCTCAAGTAAAATTGTCACGATATATTAAAATAATAGAAAGAAAGAAAGAAAAATTATACATATATTTTTTTTTCATCATATATATATGAGTACAGTCTGTCTGAGATTGTTATTACAACCAGGTAAACTGATCGTACAGCTATAAAACGATTAAGTTGATATAATATTTTAATTCCTTAGTCATTCAATACAGAAATTTTGGTTTCAATTTAAATTCTCACGAGGTTTTCCAGCTCGAAATCAATATTAACCCTTTCATGCTTCAGATACCTTTGGCCTCATGCTGAAATTATTCAGGATATTCACGTCGTGACAGCGCTTTGAATTAGTCTATAGAACTTGGTGCGTCAGACGGTATAAAATTTGAAAACGTCATTAAAGATTAACAAGAAATCTTCTGAATATTATTAGTTGAATATTTAATAGTTTAAATATTCTTGAAATGATTATATAACATTAATTGTTTTAAAAAATTTCCTTTTGTTTTTGAAGTTTCGGCAATTTTATCTAATTATTTATTGTTTATACGTGATTTATAAGTTAATACATATATTAATTCATATATTAAACGTAAGGATTTTAAAAATAAAAGTTATAACTAAGTATTATTTTATTACAGTTTTTCATCTATTATTTTTAGTTATTCCTTTAAAAAAGCTAAATTTAATTCTAAAGTGCATTCTACTGATTAAGAAGACAAAACGAAAATTTGCTTAAATTTTTCGGTGCATGTTCACGCATTCGCCGTTTCATCCACTTTATTCGAATATTTCACTTTTAACAAGAAACCCGTTCTCTTTTATCGATGCCTGGTCAAAAGCCTGCGATAAACCCTGCACCATACTTTGATTTTGAAATGATGGATGGGTGTGTTCTCTCGGGAAAGCTCGTCATGACCGTTTGACCGTCGAGAATATCTCGGTCATCGTTAAATTTAGATCGATAGGCAACATTTTCACCGTGACAAAGCGATTAAGGTAAAAGTAACAAACTTATTTTGTAATTTATTCCTTTGAAAAAAAAAGTTTCACTGCTGGAATTACTTCATTAATTTCTTTCGCAAAAAAATAATGAATGATGACAAAACGCTCGACTTGCTTTAAACTTTATAGAAAGCTAATTTTGTATTTACTTAAAATATATAATGAGACATAAACATCAACAAAACCGTTTCCATCTGATAACTGAAACTAGGTTAATTTGCGAAATATAGAATAATTAATTTTTTTTAAATTAATTTATTCAAATTCTGCGAATCTGAAACAGAGACCTAGATCTCTTTAAAATTACAATAAAATAGAATAATACAAATTTAATATAAAATAAATGTCAGAAATTATTTCATAGTTTCGTTGTGAAGTTTCCTATTTTAAGAACTTACAAAAGAGGCTAAAAATGTAGATAATCTATTTTAACGAAACTTTTTTCGGTGAAATTGGGTCGCAAAATATTAAAAACTTGATGTTTTCTTATATTTCGACCTCAACAGATTAGCTTATGATTTTTCCTTCTCGAAGGTGGGATATTAGGTCATCTCAAAAAAAGAACAACCAGTTTTTCTTTCAATCCACAACGTTTCGGATTTATTTTAATCCTTCCTCAGGTGAGTTAACGCAGTGGTTATAACCACTGGTTGTGGATTGAAAGAAAAACTGGTTGTTGTTTTTTTTTTAGATGACCTATTATTCCGCCTTCGAGAAGAAAAACTCATGACCAAGCATTCGGGCCATTTGTCTCTAGGAGCTGGGAAATTTTTTTTAAACCAATTTATATAAATACAATTTTCCGGCATAGTTAAGTAGCAAAAACAAAATATCGATTTTTGGGCTGGTTTAACTAAGGGCAGTTTCTTTTCTACAAAAACTTATGTTCGTCATAAAAATTCATATCTCCTCTGTACTTTATCCAATTTCCACTATTTTACAAAACACGAAAAAAGTAAAAGTCGTTCTGTTGTGAGAACTCACATATTATTACGAGCAAGAAAAATAAGGATGAAATTAACAAAAAATCATCAAACTTTTTTTTTATGAATGCGGTTTTAATTTAATCACAAATATGCGGCATT